CCTGATGTGCATCAGTTAACAGACTAAGTGTCAAGTGGAGGTATGTGGGCATATTTACTGGAAAAAATAGATGAAATATTTTTTATATTTTATAAATTTTGTGAAAGGCCTAATAAAAGTATCATGAAAAGTAAAGTATTGACTATAACTCCATCTATATACTAATTCCTTATTTAAGAACAAACTCCTGAAATTAGAAAATGAAACTTAAGCTGGGAAGATGGATAGTTGGATTAAGCAGCCCTAAGAGTGTCTCCCAAGTTTTTATTAACCTTCTCTCAAGGTTTTCTCATCCTAAATACCACTTCTAAATTCTCACCACAGGCATGACTTTCAAAAGCTCTGGCTTTGTCATAGACAACTCACTTCCCGTGGAACTCATTCACACAGCTAAAGCTTTTAACTAGTTTTATAAAGGTAGAAGACCAGCAAAATAAATGCAAATACAAGAGTGAAACAGTCTGGTTTATTAAAGGCAGAACCTAGCTAGGATCCATGGACCTTATTTCAAAGTCTTAGGCCACACATATACTAGTCCAGTACTTCTCAAAGTTTTGGTCTCCAGACTCCTTCACCTTCTTAAAAATTATTGAGTGCACCACAAAACTTTGCTTATGTAAACTAAATCATCAATGATTACTCTATTTTAAAATAAATAGTAATTTGGAAAATACTGAAATGGCTGTGTTTTAATATGTGTTCCACCACATGTTGACATAAATATTTTTATGAAAAGTAATTGTATTTTCTAAAATAAAAATATAATAAGAAAAGCAGCATTGTTTTTCATTTTTCGTAAACCTTTCAACATCTGGCTTAATGAAATAGAATTGGATTCTTACATCTGTTTCTACATTCTAATCTCTTGCAATAAATTGTGTTGGTTTGAAATACATGAAGGAAATATGAAGAAAATCTGACCTCATACAGTTTTGTAGATGGAAAGCATAGGAGATATTAGCATTTTGATATCCTTTTCAGATAATTATAAATATTCTTCTTTGATTCTATACAAAAGTTAACAATAGGTAACATCTGAAATGTTAATTAAAATGTGTAATTTGAAAGAATATAAGTTAACTTTTTGTATATAGTCTATTATATTAAAACCTACTGCTCAAGTTTACACATTGAGTGGAATTTTCACTTGTAATTATGAATGATAACAAAATACTATACATTGATAATTTGTAAAGTATTTAGGTTTTTAATTTTTTTTTCCATCCAGTGAAATTTATTCAGCAGGTAAAACATCAGCCCCATATGGACACAGAACACAGAACAGTCATCATGCAAGAAAGTCAGGGTGCATCTTTATGTTCACCTTATTTGCAGAGTTGTTACATATGTATATTAGACGGGAGTAGAGGGGCACAGGAAATGAACCATGATCACTTCCTGGGAAGGTAAGTAACCAGCTAGGCATACATGTGAGAGGGATGTTTACATTTGTGTATGAATTTTGTGCCCTAGAATATTGTTGTTTCTAGGTTTTCTCATTTGACAGAGGAAGGAACAAGGAACTATATGTGTATATACAAATCTGTGTGTGTGTGTGTGTGTGTGTGACCGTTTATCTACATCAGGGTAACCATGAGCTCACACTGATGTTCCTAATTCTAATCCATTACCATGTAGATTATTCTAGACTCCTACCCCTGCTTTTCTGTACACCTACTCTTTACCAGTGAGAAACCTCCTTTCAACCAATTGACATTTATTTACTTAATTGCTCAATTCCAGTATTTACCAAATCTATTTATTTCCAAAATTATTTAGATTAGTAACTTTTTACCCCTCTTCAGTGAAGTTAATTCATACATTAATAAAACAGTGGATTCTCTTGTCAATGAAGAATGTTTTCCATCCTGAAATCTGACATCCTAAATGATTCTTTTAAAACTTTCATGCTCTAAGATTTACTCTTTGTGCTATAATTTTCTATGAGTTTTGACAAATACATAACTTTATCTATCCAAAATTATATAATACAGAACAGTTTCATCACCCTAAAAAAACAACTGTACTTCATCTATTCAATTTTCTTCCCTTTCTCCCAAGCCCCTGGAAAACACTGACCTTTTTTACTATTGCTATACTTTTGCCTTTTCCGGAATGTCCTGTAATTGGAATCATACAATGTAGAGCCTTTTCAAACTGACTTTTTTCATTTAGCAATACGCATTTAAGATCCTTCCATGTCTTTTCATGGTTTGATAGTTCATTTCTCTTTGTCAATGAATAATATTCTTTCATGTGGATGTTACTACAGTTTTCTTGTCCATTTACTTATTGAAGGACATCTCCCTTGCTTCTAATTTTTTAGAAGCTTTATGAATAAATCTGTTTAAACAGGCATGTGCAGGTTTTTGTATGGATATACGTTTTCAACACTTGGGTGCTATGATCTGAATGTTTGTATTTTCCCCAAATTCAGATGTTGGAATCTTAAAGGTTAATGTGATGGTATTAGAAGATGGAACTTTTGGGAGGTCATTAGGTCATGAGAGCATGAAAGGGTTTAGTGCTCTTATAGAAGAGATCCCACACAGCTCTTTAGCCTCTCTTACCTTGTGAGGACATACTGAGTAGTTGACAGTATGTAACACAGAAAAGGACCTTCACCAGAACCTGATCATGCTGGCATCCTCATCTTCCAGCAAATGTTTGTGGCTTATAAGGTGGACAGTCTATAGCATTTTGTTATAGATATAAACTGACTTCGCAGACTAGAACAATCTACTGTAATCCAGTGCTACCTATGACAGAATGGACAAGTCTGCATACTTCTGGAGTGCAATCATGAAATTTTTACTTTTTAACAGCACAAGGCCACATTATCCAATAACATTTTTCAGTAATGAGGGAGACATTTTGATTTTTATATGCTGATTCTATCTACTCCTCAATTGTTTCAGAGTCTGGCAGGAAAGAGAGGGTCTAGTGGGTATCTTCCCAAAAGGATAAAGACATATGTCCATACAAAAATTTGTATTCAAGTCTTCATAGAAACCTTATTCCTGTTAACTAATGGATAGCAATCCAGATGACCATTAACTTGTAAATGGATAAACAAAATTGCAATATAAGTTGCAATTAGTATTCAGAGACTGAATACAGGTTTGTCATGTTCATAACTCTCCTAGGAGAGATGTTAAAAGACTTACAGAAGAGAATTGTAACTAAATTCCCCAAGCCTTTTAAGGTTTGGATACTGTCGCAACAGTCCAGCAAATTTTGCTCTTTTTAGTTGCCTTCTGTCTACTATCCTTTATAAACTTGCAAGTATTTCTGAGATTCCCAGAGGCTATTTATGTGTGTTTGTGAACACGTTTGAATTTGCAAGGAGTGTCAATACACCATTTCTAGAGTAATTTCCCACCATTTCCCTCTGGGTTTCATGATTCCTACCAATGATCTGTTTTGTCTCAACCAGACACTATAACTGATATACCAGAATTCACAGTGTTACAAGAAATTCAGTAAATGATAAGAATGCAAATCTCCATACTGCATGATATGCTGTATCACTAAAAAGCCTTAAAAAACGACTTCAACTCTTACCTAACACAATCTGCTTCTGATTGCAGTCTCTTTTTCCACTCAGGTCCTTTGACAGGGCCAGCTAGAGGCTGCTAAAAATTTTCTCTTAGTGTCATTTTAGTGGCATTTCACATAATCTGATATCTTATGTCTCAATGTGCAAACACTTTTAAATTAATGATGTTTTTTTTCATGCAATATGGTTAATCTTGGTAATGGTTTATGTGCGTGTGAATAGAAATACATTCTGCTCTTTTGAATGGAATGTGCTGTAAGTGCCAATTAGCACAAATTGATTTACTTCATTTTCATATCTTACCCTTAGGAAAACCTTATTTTATACAGCCCTATACAATCCTCTATGGTTTCCTCTGTTACTTTCTCACCTCAACTTCCATTGCTCTTCTTGTCCATTTAAACTCAAAGTACAAGCTACCGTTATGATTAATTCACTCATAGCAACCTCTTTGCTATTCCCTAAACATACCAAAGAAGTTCAGCACCTGGATCCTTCAGGCTCCACACTGAGTGCAGAGTCTACTTAAGAATCTTTCTACCCTCTCTCTCTGCCCACCCATACACACACTTTCTCTCTAAAAATAAATAAACAAATATTTTTAAATATATTCTTTCTTACAGCCTGGCCAAATCCATCATCTGCTTCAGAACTCTTCTTAAATATGATAGGAAAAGAAAAATCTTCCCAAGCAAATCTATATAAAATAGTGAGCCACATTAATAGTAATTTCCCAATTTACCCTGCTTTTTTTTTACTCTGTGTTTTACATATTGCTTTTTTGTTTGTTCATTTTTATCTTCAGCCAGTAGAATATAAATTCAATTGGGACAGGAAGCTAGTTTTGTTCCATTTTTAAATTTTCCAGCACCAAAACAGAGCCTAATACACTGTATGGCATCTCAGACATCTTAAAATATAAGTATCCAGTTATGAGCCTAAAATAATAACTCCCCCGTAAGCAATTGCTATTTTTTATAAGTGTGGAATCATACTGTTTTCCCATGCTTTAAATTTAAATTTTATTAACTCTGTGTAAGCTGGGACTGGGGCTGGATGAAAACATGAAAGAATAAGATATTAGGAGAAAACTTGCTAAGTATTTCTAAAATTAAGTTCCAGTAAGTCCTCTTCCCCATTTTTTAAAAATTCCTCCTCAAAATCTGCCTTGTTTTTTCTGCATACACTAAACCTGTGGTGCCTTTCTGATTCTGTCTGAAAGTATACCTCCTTTCTACTACTTCTTCTCTTCCATATTCCTCGGTATCTCTTGCTCCTCTGAATTCACAGCCGTGGTCTTATTTATATTTTAAAGAAATAGACGTGACTCTTCCATGAATGTCATACTCCATTTCATCTTTGTTGTTTGCTTTAACCCATTACATCCTTTACCTTGGGAATCAAAAGAAAGGTTACCTTGGGAATCAAAAGAAAGGACAGTGTCCTCACTTTGGAAGCACAAATAATAAAATTAGAATAATACAGAGAAGATTCGTGTGCCCTCTGTGCAAGGAGGGCATGCAAGTGTGTGACACATTCCATATTTTTCAAACAAGCATATGAAAAGATGTTCCACATCATACCTCATTAAAGAATTGCAAATTAAAGCAACAATAAAATTGTTTCCATTACACATACAGTAGAATGACTAAAGCCCAAAACATTGACAACATCAAATGCTGGTGTGGATGTGGAGCAACAGAGAAAAATACAACATTCATGCTGGTGGGTATGAAAAATGGTGCAATTCTTTGGAAGATTCTTTAGCAGTTTCTCACAAAAATAAGCACATTCCTACCATATGATCCAACAATCACACTTGTTGGTATTTACTCAAATGAGTAGAAAACTTATGTCCACACAAAAACTTGCACATGGATGTTTATAGTATCTATTTATAATTGCCAAAACCTAGAAGCAACTGAGATGTCCTTCGGTAAGTGAATGGGTAAGTAAACTGTGGCCCATCCAGACAATAGAATATTATTCAATGCTAAAAATAAATATGTTGTTGGGGCAGCTCGGGTGGCTCAGCGGTTTAGCACCTGCCTTTGGCCCAGGGCCTAATCCTGGAGACCCAGGATTGAGTCACACATCGGGCTCCCTGCATGGAGCCTGCTCCTCCTTCTGCCTCTCTCTCTCTGTTTCTCAAGAATAAATGAATAAAATCTTAAAAAAAAAAATAAAAAGAAATGTGTTGTCAAACAATGAAAAGGCATGGAAGAACCATAAAGGTGTATTACTAAGTGAATGAAGACAATCTAAGAAGGCTATATACTGTTTGATACCAATTATACACCCTTCTAGAAAAGGCAAAACTATGGAGACACTAAAAAGATCACTGAGTGCAGGAGTATAAGGGAAAGAAGGGATAAATAGGTGGAACAGAGGATTTTTAGGGCAATGAAACTATTCTTTATATAACTATAATGTTTGATAGATGTCTTTATGCATTTATCAAAACCCATATAATGTATACCAGAAGTGAACCCTAATGTAAACAATGGGATTTGAGTGATAATGACATGTTAATGTTGGTTTATTGCTTCTAAACAAATGCAGATCTCTGGTGTGGGGTGTTGATGGTGGGGTAGGCTGAATGTGCAATGCACGGAGGTATATAGGAATACTGTCCTTTCCACTCAGTGTTGTTGTTAAGATAAAACTGTACTGAAAATGAAGTCTTTATATTTTTAAAGGAAGTACAGAGAAAGTGCTTTCCTTAATTGGACTTCTTGAACCAAACACGACTTGGTATGGCACCTTTAAATAATTGCTTTGTGTAAAGAAACCCCAAATTTATTTAATTTATTTAACCTAAGAAAGTCTGTGATCAAAATAGATGAGCTATATTTTTAAAGGAATAACTTGTGTATTTATCATAACTAGACAGATAACAGACTAAAAGATGTGCAGTTGTCATCTCAGCAATCAGACAACGAAAATAAATAAAAGGCATCCAAATTGGCAAGGTCAAACTTTCACTCTTCACAGATGACACAATACTGTACGTAAGAAACTGGAAAGACTCTACCAAAAAAATTACTATAACTGATACAGGAATCCAGCAAAATCATACAATATAAAATCAACACACAGAAGTCTGTTGCATTTCTATCTCACTAATAATGAAGCAGCAGAAAGGCAAATTAGGGAACCGATCCCATTTAAAACTGTACCAAAAACCATAAGATGCCTAGGAATAAACCTAGCCAAAGAGGTAAAAGACCTGTACTCTAAAAACTACAGAACACTTATAAAAGAAATTAAGGAAGACATAAAGAAATCCATGCTCAGGGATTGGAAGAACCAGTATTGTTAAAATGTCTATATTACCCAAAACAATCTACATGTTTAATGCAATCCCATCAAAACAACACCAGCATTTTTCATAGAGCTATAACCAACAATTCTAAAATTTGTATGGAACCACACCCCAAATACCAATGAAATCCTGAAAAAGAAAACCAAAGGTGGAGGCATCACAATTCCACACTTCAAGCTGTATTACAACACTGTAATCATGAAGACAGTATGGTACTGGTACAAAAACAGTCACATCGATCAATGGAACAGAATAGAGAAACCAGAAATGTACCCTCAATTTTATGGTCAACAAAGCAGGAAAGAATATCCAAAGGAAAAAATACAGTCTTTTCAACAATAGTGTTGGGAAAATTGGACAGCAACATGCATAAGAGTGAAACTGGATGATACCTAAATGTGAGACAGGATCCATCAAAATCCTAGAGAACACAAGCAGCAACTTCTTTGACCTTGGCCACAGCAACTTCTTGCTAGACACATCTTTGGAGGCAAGTGAAACAAAAGCAAAAATGAACTATTGGGACTTCATCAAAGATAAAAAGCTTCTGCACAGTGAAGGAAACAATAAAACTAAAAGACAACCTATGGGATAAGAGAAGATATTTGCAAATGACATATCAGATAAAGAGCTAGTATCCAAAATCTATAAAGGACTTATCAAACCCAAAACCCCAAACATAAAAAATCCAGCTAAGAAACTGGCAGAAGACATGAACAAACATTTACTTCTCCAAAGAAGACATACAACTGACTAACAGACACATGAAAAAATGTTCACCATCACTCATCATCAGGGAAATAGAAATCAAAACCACAATGAGATACCACCTCACACTGGTCAGAATAGTTAAAAATTAACAACACAGAAAACAACAGATGTTGGTGAGGTTGTGGAGAAAGAGGAACCCTCTAACACTGTTGGGAATGCACACTGGTGTAGCCACTCTGGAAAACAGTATGGAGGTTCCTCAAAAAGTTAAAAATAGAACTACCCTATGACCCAGGAATTACACTACTAGATATTTATCCAAAGCATACAAAAATAGTGATTCCAAGGGGCATATACACTATAGGGAACAAATTGAGGGTTGCTGGAAGGAGGTGGGGGTTAGACTAAATGCGTGATGGGCACTTGTTATGAGCACTAGTGTTAACTGTAAGTGATAAATCACTAAATTGTATTCTTGAAACTAATACTACACTATATGTTAACTAACTTGAATTTAAATAAAATCTTAAGAAAAAAAAGATGTGCAGCAGTCAAATTAAACTATGTAAAACACAAACATTTTTAAAGTACTGTCACATGCAAACACACTAAAAAAATCTAGAATGCCATACCTACACTTAGAATGAGAAAAATAATTATGAGTGAGTGATATTAAAAGATTATATATGATTTCTAAATTATAAAAGTCACTGGGAAATGTTAACTAGATTAACAACAATCTAGTGTCAAAAATTGGTTATTCATGGACAAAATTCATCCCTTTATATTTCAGTCCATATGTAATTCTTTTTCCAGTGGATTTGAAATTCTTTACATGAGGCATATTCTCTAGCTAATCACTAACACTTTCACTCCCTATTTTCTCCTTCTAGGCTGCCTCACACATTGACAAATCACCTGGCTTTTGAAAACATGCTTTGCCACCATTCCCTCATCTAATCTATCTTGTGATAATGTCCAGAAATATTGAAAAGTCAGTATGTTCTCAATCTTTGGAAATCAATGTCAAATTAAAAATAAAAGCAATTAGAAGTTTTGTGAGTGACATCAACAAAATTAATGGAGTGGAGAACTCTAAAATCTTGTCCCTCCATAAAAGTAGTGAGGAGTATGGTGACAGATGGTGTCCACACTTACTGTAGTGAGTGTTGAGTAAAGTATAGAATTGTCAAATCACTATATTGTACACCTGAAGCTAACATAACACTGTATCCCACGGGAGGTATATGAAAAATGACCTCGAAAGACCAAAAATCCACAAGACCAAAGAGAAAGGCCAACAAGATTAGCTTGATATAAATTATTTATTAAGGAAAATTACAGACATAAGTGTGTCTGGGAAGTCATGAGATAAGTATCTGGAACCCCACTTCCTGTAGGACCTCCTATTGTAGCCCTAGACGCTGGAGTTGGGCTGAAGGGTGTTGGGTCAGGGCAAGTTAATGATCACAAAGCTCCATTACTGAAATTTAGGTCTTCTTCTCTTGATTAGTATTTTACTTTTTAGTGTAAACTTCTATTACATTTCACAAAACCCCCACAGCCTGTTAAATGTGCATTTATGTTAAATGTCCAAACAGGCATTTCCATTGGACATAAAGCAGATGAGTGTTTGCTAGGGGGAGGAGGATGAGACGTGATTGCTTACTGGTACAGGGTTTTTGTTAGAAATGATGAAAATATTCTGAAACTAGATAGTGGTGATGGTAGCATAATATTATGAATGTACTTAAGGCCTCTAATTGTGCAAAGTGGTGAAAAGGACAATTTTATATCATGCGAATTTCATCTCCATAAAATAATGTGCTTTTTCTAATCTTGTCAACTATAACTGTTATACTCTTTTCTCTAGTAATGGTATATCATTTGTACTTACCTTGAGCTACATTTTATTGTAGACTGTCCTTTATTCATTTATTTCAGTAGCTAAACAAATATTTATAAAATACCTATTATTTCACAGGTACTTTCTTTTCATTGGGCCTACAGCAGTGACATAAGCAGATTGAATCTTCTCTTCATGGAGCCTGAGTCTTCATAGGAGAGGAGAGTAAAAAAAAAAAAGTCATTAAAAATTAAATAACATGCTCAAATATTTTATTTTCCCTCTTCATACAAATGAATTTTTCTTATTCTCTCTTTCTTTTGCACACACACAAAGACACTTATGAACACAGATGCATATGTACACACACACACACACATACAAGCATACAGGTAAGTTCTCACATGACTTGACATAATAAGTATTACATATTCTCACTGATAGACCTCAGAAAAAATAATGATATCTAGGGACACAATCTCTACTACTTTATTCCATGGACAATTTCCTTCAAAGTGACTTATTTTCCCTTGAGATTCCTTGAAGTGTATTGCTTCTTGGAAAAACAAAAATTTTTTTTTTCATGGATGAAAGAAAAGGGGCATATGAATTGTGAAAGTGATGGAGTAGGCCATTTCTGCGATTTGTTCCAAATTTGAAAGTATA